ATGATAGATAGATAGATAGATAGATAGATAGATAGATAGATAGATAGATAGATAGATGATAGAGAGAGAGATATATTAGATAGATGATAGATAGATGATAGATTAGATAGATAGATAGATAGAGACAGACAATTATACAAATGATAGACAGAGAGAGAGAGAGAAACAGACAGATGGACAGACAGATGACAGGGAGGGAGGGGGAGAGAGAGATATATTATGGATGCAAATGGGAAAAAAGGACCCCTCATTCTGTTGCCCCCATTCACACCATTTCATCCGGCCCAAAATCTGACTGGCTCAGGAATTCTGGGAGTTGGAGTCCGCCGGTCTTCCGGGTGGCATTGTTACCCACCCTTGTTCTCATCCCAGCCCCCCAGAAGCTGACTCCCCCCCGCCCCCCCCCCTCAAAATCTACACCTGGATTTCCTCTGACATTTATTCCCCCCCCCCCCCAGAACACTCCGGACAGGGACTTCATTCTGGACCGACACCCCCGTTTTGAAAACATTGTCATCGGAGCCGGATTTTCAGGTAAAGTGGGCAGTAAGAAAGGTCATTCATAGCTCCCTAAAAGGGGACTCATTTATCCCGGAGTCTTTCGTCCGGAACTATTTCTCAGGAAAGCCTCCCTGTTCAAGCACAGTCTATCTTTCTGCAAGAGCTTGCCATTAAGGAGAAACTTCCTGACCGTGAGGGACAGTTAACCAGTGGAACAGCTGGCCACCAGAAGGGGTGGGCGCTCCATCGCTGGAGACCGGGCAGCCACTTGTCTGGAATGGGATAGAATCTCCGGCTTCAGCGGGGGGCTAGACTAGATGACCTCCAGGGTACCTTCATTCCATTCCATACTATTTAAATTCTATTCTATTCTATTCTATTCCATTCCATTATCCATTCTATTCTGTTCTATTCGATTCTGCTCCTGCTTCTATTCTGTTCTGTTCTATTCTGTTCTCTATTCTATTCTAATTTCTGTTCTATTCTATTCTATTTCTATTTGATATCTATTCTATTCCTATTTTCTATTCTATTCTCCTTCCTTCTTTCTCTATTCTATTCTATTTTTCTATTCTTTTAATCTATTCTATTCTTCTGTTCTTTTCTGTTCTTTTCTTCATTCCAATATTTATTCTAGTCTAGTCTAGTCTAGTCTCTATTCTATTCTCCTTCCTTCTTTCTCTATTCTATTCTATTCTATTCTATTCTATTCTATTCTATTCTATTCTATTCTATTCTATCCTATCCTATCCTATCCTATCCTATCCTATTTTGCATTCTATCCTATCCTATCCTATCCTATCCTATCCTATCCTATCCTATCCTATCCTATTTTGCATTCTATTCTATTCTATTCTATTCTATTCTATTCTATTCTATTCTATTCTATTCTCACATTGTCTTCTATTCAAGTGAGTTATGACCCATTTTACGAACCTTTTTTGCCACATCTGATAAGCGAGTCACTTCGGTTGTTAAGCGAGTCACTTCGGCGGTAAAGGGAATCAGGCTTCCTGCCTGTCAGAAGGACGCAAAAGGGGCTCATCGCAGTGACCCCCGGGGACACTGCAACCGTCATAAATACCAGTCGGTTGCCAAGCTCCTGAATTTGGATCACGTGACCGCAGGGAGCCCACAATGGCTGTAAGTGCGAAAACCAAGCATAAGTCACTTCGAACGGTCACTAAATGAATGGCTGTAAGTCAAGGACTACCAGAAGGGGAGGGAAAGGGAGCGAAGAGGGGAATTATGCATCCCTTTCTCCCTTTTTTTTTTCTCTTCCGCAGGCCACGGATTCAAGTTTGCCCCGGTCGTGGGAAAGATCCTGTGCGAACTGAGTCTCGGGGAGCAGCCCACTTACGACCTCTCCCCCTTTCGGCTCAGCCGCTTCTTCCAGGGGCCCCTCAAGGCCAGCTTGTGACCGCCATCCGGCAGAGACGAGGAAGGGGAGTAGAAGGTTTCCACGGCAGCTTCACATCAATCCAGATTAAGGGCAGGAACTGTAATGAGGGATCTCAGTGGACAAACAGCTAAATAGGAGCCAGCCGGGTGCAGCAGCAGCAGCCCAAAAAGCCAACACAATCCTAAATTGCATTAACAGAGGGATATAATCGAGGTCAAGGGAGGTACTAATACCACTCTATAAAGCCTTAGTAAGGCCACACCTGGAATCCTGCATCCAGTTTTGGTCACCACACTATAAAAAAG